CATTCTAGTAACGCCCCTATTTGGAGTTCCTGGCTACGGCCCTGAAACCCTACGATCCCGGGGGCTAAGATGTACGAGAGGGTGCTCTAAAAACCAGGGGCGTAGCTGAGGTAGGGCCTGAGGGGGCCTGGGCCCTACCATCAAAGTGGCCTTATAATTATATTCATTGAAATTATAACCCAAAAGGTTATATTCATTGTTCTTACAATAACAAAAGGGGATGGCTGATAACCACAGCTCTTTTAAAGCTATATACAATGATAATTTCACTCTGATTTTGCTCAGCTTGCAGGAAAATGCCTCCATTTTGTTACGTAAAAAGGGTGAGGCCAAAATTGCGGCGCAGTTCGCGCGCCATTTTGTTTCCTTGCTCTACCGTCACCCAAGGTCCAGCTACGCCCCTGCTAAAAACTAAACACTAAACCCCAATCCCAACCCTACGACCCCGTAGGCTAAGATGTACGAGAGGGTGCTATTTCTTGACCCAAAAAAAGCCAAAAAGAAAAAATTGCAAAAAAAAGATATTTTTAAAAAAGAAAAAAATAAAAAACTGCAGCATAGTTTTACTCGGTAGTCCTGACCGGATTCGAACCCCTGACCATATTCGTGCAATCCACACCAGCCTCTCCACTGCACCATCACAACCCTGCTGCATCATCACGACCCTGCTGCATCATCAACGCTGGTTGTTGTATTTATACTCGGTTTTTATAATATAAATCAGTGTATTATTAATACTGGGGCGTAGCCCCAGTATATATATATATAGGGGCGAAGCCCCTATTACCGGAGCTCTAGCACTGCATACTGTGTCCGGTTACCGGAGCTCTAGACACTTCCAAGAAAAAACAATAGACCAGAAGAGCATTACATAAAAAGAAGCATTTTAAAAAGGAAACAGCATCAGCTAAAAATTACAATCATTCATTATTAGTTCTAACTCTTTTCACAGACTGTTCAAACTGAAGTGCACCCTCCAGAGCTGCTGTCCATTTTTCCCTCAAGAGATTAGCAGCAAATTCTATTGGTCCCCCAACACTAGACAGAGCCTCAAGATACTTCACACAATGTTTCTCTAGGTCAGACTTAGAGTCCAACAAATTCATCATAGATAGAAAACTTGAGGCTATGGCATCATAAGTAGGTGACCTCTGAACCTGCTGAGCAATAATATTAGCTTCAAATAGTTTGTTAGCAATTTCTTTAAGTGAACTCTCCAAAATGTAAGCAAAATCAGAGTGATTCTCATTCATAACTTGTTTGATCTTTTGTTTAGCTGTTTTAATATCAAAACCTATAATAACAATAGTCATAGCTAGTCATAACATCTTGTGTACATGTACCTCTTTTTCTTCTTTTAGTTGGTACTGGCATAGTTTCATGACTGCTACTACCACTAGGAGCAGCTACATTGGATATAATGTACATAACATAATAATATAACTTGACATTATACCTGATGCAATAGAATGAGCTGTTCTTCGTGATCTGTGAATATATAGTGTAACAGGATCAGCCACACCCTCTAATGGGACAGAGTAGTGTAGTGTAGGAACAGCATCAGGTGATGAATAGATTGATATCGGACAAGATGGAGGGAGAGAATAATTTTTGTCACCAAAATTGTCAATTTCGTTTTGATGAAACTGTATAATAAAATTAATTCATTGACCCATCATAACTACAGTATTATTTCTTCACCTTGACAGGTTTCATGTGAGGCTCAATAGTCCATCCAGTAAATGGTTTCTCTTGTGGAGCATCAAACTTTAATTCAATGTAACCATCAGGAGACACAATACAAAAGTATTTATGAGGTCCTCTTTCAGCATGTGAATGTTCTTTCTTGATAAACTATACACAAAACATCATAATAAATGACTTAATGGTGACTCACCTCAAGGAGTGCATTCAAATTTTTAGCAGCAGTAAAAGTCACTACATCCTCTACACCTTTCTCCTCATAATGAACCAGTCCAGCATATGTTTCAGCTTTTAAGAATTCTTTAGATCTATTTTCAGTACTAGCTAATTCCTCCAATTGATGCTGCTGAAGTAATGTGTCATTACCTACAGTATAACATGAAAGAAAAGATGAAACTACATGACAGTAATCATAAATAAAACTTACCCCCAGAAGATGATAAGTTCTTTGTCCTTATACTGGCCCCAGGTTCTGATAAAGGATCTATAACAAATCAATTATCAATAGTTATAAGCAATTAAGCATAATTTCTAACCAGCTGATGAAACTTCTGATGAAGAACTGGAACCACCTCCTCCTCCTCCCCCACCATCACAGACACAGACAGATACAAGACAGAATTTCTCACGTTTAATGGATCCATACCAACTATCAGTCCTGAACTCACCTCCCTCTACTAATGTGAACTGGTAAGGAAGACTGGCTGTGCTCAGGGGAGCTATTGCAAACTTTAAGTATCCTCCAAGATCTGGTCGTCCTGTTAAATCAATGCAGTGCTGTATCTCTAGTTGTAGTGGCTTCAGTAGAGGCTTTGAGAGTGATACTGCATACACAGCACTCACTAGCACAGTATTAGGAGGAAACTGGAACTGTCCTCCTACAAGAGCAACCACTGCTGCTTCTACTGTCTCAGAGGGCAGTAAGCTGTCTTCTTGTACTCCAATCCTTAGACCATATTTCTCCCAATTCATCAGTTGAGGTTTGTCTCCTTGAATTAAAAACAGCTTCTTCTCTGCTACCTGGACATCACTCAGGCATTCCAGATTATCTATTAAAGCACAATTTCACAGTTCATATACTCATGTAGTACATCTCTTACCCACTTGGAATGAGATCTTCTCCTGTTGTTGTGATTTCTCTTTCAATAGTTTAGATATATATGCATCTTTTTTTGAAATGTCAATCTTGAGATTTTCAACCTCATCTACACAATAACATACATTCTCTTATTCATGTATTATTAACTCACCAATAATTATCTGCTTTTCTTTAAGTTGTTCCTCTACTTGTGTCTTCTCTTCCAATAGTTCAGTTATATATACTTCCTTATCAGCAACTATAGCTTTAAGTTTCTCATATTCTCCTAGGGTCTTAGTTTCTAGCAGTTGCATTTCTGATATCTTCTTCTCTTCAATAGAAATAAAAGTAAAATAAATTAATGAAAGGAAACGAGACACCAATGGTGCATTGGCCTCGCTAAAACAAAGAAAAACAATATTTTGTTTTACATGTATGATTTCAAAACTATATTTTGTCCTGCATATTACCACTGCATCAAGAGTTACTTGCTTAAATATAGTTTTGATTGCATTCTTCATAGTCTAATTAAATATATACCATATATAGCGCTTTAATTTTGTGGAGCTAAAATTTAGCGGATTGATAAAAATCAATTTTTTTGCAAAAATAACTTTTGCGGAAATAACTTCTGCAGATTCACAGTGTTAGTGCTACGCCTTTAATGGCAAATGAAATTTTAGCAGATCTTTAATTTTGCAGTTTTATGCTAACCTGCGAAAATATCAAAAGCATGGCAGTTGTTACAGTACTACAGAGAAAGTGTCAAATCTTGATTGCTAGAGTAAAATGGTGTCCCTTGGAGTAACTGCTGGAAGAAGCTAGAGTTTCTTGGACTTCTACTCAGTGCACACACACATTTAGTAGGCCCTATTTGCTGCATACAAACTCTTGTCAAGCATCTGAAATTTACAGGCCTAAATTACTCTTTCTAAGGACAAGTGCCTCGTGTAAAGTCAAGAGGTAAGTAATTTTTAGGCACTCCTTTCTTCAAGACAAAAAAAGTCACGGAAAAACACTACATATTTTTTAAAGAAAATGTTTTTGTGTCTCTCTAGTAATACTAGATAGCCCTGTTACTGGAAGCACGACAAAATGATAGAAGAACCTACCTACATTTGGCAAGATTGTTAGCTTTTGGTTCCTTGCACTGTCATCTATACTTGATAAAGCTAAAGAAAGTAACTTTTTCTAGCGCATGGAGAAGTTATCTGAGTATAGGGAACTCCCTTCTAAAACCACAATACCTCAAAGTTACTTAAGTGAGAGATTGCTTCTGGACAGAATGAATGACAGACAACACACTTAACTATAGTCCTTGTCCACGCTAATCACTGGCGAGACCAATTATGACATGTGGTACAAAAAACTTTAAAATGAGTGCTAACGAAAAACATACAAAATAGTGCAGCTTATTCATTTAAGCTGATAATAATTGAAACTGTGCCTAATAAATGGGCATTACTGAATATTTCATGAAACCTCAAATAATGTCAAATTCAAAGCAATTTACAAAATTGTGTTCTTTCATATAGTTTATTTTGTGGAATTAATTTTCTTGCAGGCTCCAATCCACTAAAATTAATTCCACTAAATCTTATTAACATCAATTGCTAACAAAATTTTTGTAAACCATGAAATTTAATACCAATAAAAATTTTAACGACACTGAATATTTTGAAGCTACAAAATAAACCAGCTATATGGTAATAGATAATTGTTATATATAATACCTGATTCCAGTAGTGCTTTCTGAAGTGATTGGTTGTTAATTCTAGCCACTTGTAGATCATGACGTAAAGACTCATTGATAACTTGAAGCTCCTTTTCTTTATCTGTCATGTATTCAATCAATTCCTTTGTTCTTTCTTTTAGTATTTGTTCATACAATAAAGGAATATTAAATGAATCTAATACTGGACCCACTGACCATTGATCATCATTAAAAACTGAAGGAAAAAAGGAATAAAATAAGTCAGTGATTGTGAGTGAGAGAGAGAGAGAAAATGATAAAATTATAATTTAAAATTTCAGGAAAATGCATGAATCTACTATAATGATTTTTCATTATTTTAATAGTGGTATTATTAATTATCTACAATAATTAATTTTTTGAATTGTGTTCACAATCACTTATCGTGTGCATGGATATGAATTACCACTTATAAAATTTTCTGATATAATAATCTTACCTAGTTCCACTACTATTGTAACATTAGGATCAGTAACAGTGGCATCAAACCATTTTATTACTCCTCCTTTTTCCTCTTCACTCCTTACATCACCTCCCACTATTATTAGGAACACATGATTAGGATCAAGAACAAAAGATGATACAGTATGATCAAATCTACCAGTAACAGAATCAGGTAGAGTAATCTGTAGAAAATAATAAATAGAATAGAGCATATATGCAGCTTACAGAGTGAAATTGGTATTAGTTATGGGATAGTTCGATGTAAGTGCATGGCTGCTAGACTACATGGCTGCAGGGTTGAAATAATGGTCGGCAGACTTATATGCTTGAATAATACCAGTCAATTCACTGGCATTCACACAATAATATGCTGGTATAATGACTATGATTAATACCTTCCTCCAATTGTACTGGTTTGTGTCCAATAACCAACATTCATTCACTAGTTCATATCCCCTATCCAGTCCACCAATCACTACTAGTGTAGGTGAGGTAGAGATACCATTGATAATAGTACTGGCATGAGAATGCCGGCCTTCAGGCCACAGTCCATCATTAGGTATTGATTCTGGTTTAAGATATTCCCAGTTCTAAAAATATATTATTTATAAAAATGTTTCACAGTGTATAGCTTACTATTATATTATGTGATAATTCAAACAAGTAGATACTGTTAGTAGCTATACCATCAGCTACTACTCCTCCATACATAATTCCTTTATTATAATTGATCCTTTCAATTATAAAGTTATTAGTTGGTGGAAAACATTGTCCACTGACAGATGGAACAATCCATTTTCCTAAATATAATTATTATCAGTAAATGCATGTTATTATTTTATTATATAATACATGCATGCATGATAAACAGAACTATTTACACTATTGCACTAGTCTCACTAGTCTCGTGCCCCGCAACCCTAAACCCTTCCTCCAAAAGCGAAGGGGCGGGGCACGAGACTATAGTCTCACAAGCCAAACCATTCCCCAGCCTACAGTCATTTGACTGTAGGCTGGGAAATGGTCTGGCTTGACTGTAAGCTGGGGAATTGTCTGGCTTGTGAGATTACTATTGCACTACTGATGTAATTTGAATTCTGGCCTCAAAATAATTATTAAAAATTTCTATACGACTAGTAGCTTACTACTAGACAGGTTATAGATATTCTGTTCATTAGTTCTAAGACGATCATCAACACCAGGTATCATAATTGTATCATATTTAAATTGAGGATGATACTGTGTAGTAGTTGATCTAGGAGCTATACCACCAACAACCAGTAATTGTTGAGGTTCACCTTCACCTCCCATTGCTATCATGCCACCAAAGTTTCTTTTAGTCACAGAATTGTTATCAGTTGGTTGTAATTCTTTCCATTGAAGAGTTAAAGTGTCTAAACAGTTCAAACTGTTATGGTAGCAGGTGTCATGGCCACACCAACCACCAAAATAATAAATATTATTATTAATGGTGGTACAGGAGACTCCCATGATTCCCAAGGGAGGAGTACCTCTAGTAGGTTGAGAGGACCAAACACCAGATAAGAAGTTAAATGCATCGATAGTAGAAGCATACTGTTTCTTTGTAGAAAAATTACAATGTGACATGTCCAATCTGTCCTGGTCCCCTCCCCAGCAGTACAGGACCTCTCCTACTACTGCACTTGTGTGTTCAGACCTACATCCCAGTTGATATTGACCTGTAGAATACCAACAACAATCAAAATTTACAGGAGAGAGAGCATTAAATAAAACAGAGGGGCTTTGATTTTAAAAGACTGACCATCTACAGGGGCCTGTCCAGAAATGGGGAAAGGAGGTGTTAAGGGCGCGAAGCGCGCCGCGATTTTGACCACACCCTTTTGCGGCGGTAAAACGGCGTTTTCCTTCATTTTCGTGAATTACGGGTGGGGTCAAAATTATTTCAAGCATCTAGTACTTCTGACAACTTCTGATTGCTCCTGAAAGCACTGTAAACTGCTGAAATAATGATCAGGGGCTAGATAACTTTGTTAAGAGGCTTGGTAGTGATGCAAAAGTCCAGGATTTGATCAATTTTTTTCTGAGCCCAGCCATGAGGGGGGTGCTCAAGCCCCCCTCAGCCCCTGCTGGATACGCTCCTGGAATCTATGACTGATTGAACTGACCTTTTTCATCTACATTTCTATCCATTTTCAAATCAAAAGTTCTAGATCGACAAGCCAACGGCAACGCCCTAAACTTTAGGGCGTTGGCTCTATGTGTGTAGACTAGCTTTTGAAGATGCAGTGGGGTGATATATTACTATCACCCCACTCAACATTGACTGCATATGCAGCACATCTCAACAATGGTACCTAGATCTATTATTCATATACACAATTCCATGAACTCCTGGTCAGCTTTTTTGCAACAGCTAGTCTAATCTCCTGATGCCTTATCCCAGACTTGTTTAATGAACGAAGCTGCTACCGATTGTATTAAGACATGCTATAAAACTGAGAAGAACAATAAAATAAAAAATGATAATTATTTTATCATTACAACAAATTTTAGTTCATTTTTATTAACAATCTAATTTTAATCAACTCTCTCTCTGCAACTAAATTACATTATGCTAAAAATCATGGATGTACATATACAATAATGATTGATAATGCTGGATTACTGAACAGAAGTAAAAGTGACATGCAGACATGAATGACTACAAACAGGAAATGAAACTTATAGCAAGTGTTGGCCAGGATAGTCTTTGTTTGTTCAGCCTTTTTCTTTTGTGCATATAATTTTTTAACAACCTCATCTTCATCATCAGCCTCGTTTATTTGAACTGTGCATGAGTCCACTATTGGAAGGCCATGTAAATAAGGAATAGTCTTCAGAGTCTATGCCTGCAGATGTGGTTTGTGGTCCAGGGTGCATTGCATGGTGCTTGTTGTGGGATAGCTGCCTTTTCAAGATTTTAGCTGGCATGATTGTTGCTTCTCTTTGCTGCCGCATATAGATCTACGTCCTTTCTTGCCACTTCTACATTAATTTTGTTAAAATAATGACTGCCTCACACCTATAACATTCCACCTTACTGTGATTTTCTTCTGCATAGTATGAACTGGTAGAGTGGTTTTTTGTTCAGACATCTTGAAGGTGCCCTGAGGACGCCTTCAAGATGTTCAGCATTCCAGCATTCTGGAATGCTGCCTCATAAGACAAGTATGATTGCCCTGAGATCTGCCACATGTGGCAAGGAAGCATCCCCATTACATCCTCAAACAATGAAAACTTTCGGTTTCCCACCAAGTGAGGGACAGTTGCTGGCAGAGAAATACTTTAAAATGTCGTCAAGTATGATTGCTTGGCCATCAGACACATAATAATGTTTCCTTCATCTCCATGACTCAGATTTTGGCCTAATTTTGCCAAAAATGAAAAGGAGAGAATTCTTCATTTTTATCATTTCTTCATTTCTTCATTTTTTTCATTTTTCAAAGATAGTACAAAATTTCGAGTGATCCTCATGTTGATAGTGTCTTAGCTTTGATTCTAACTGTTCTTTTGTAACGTTTCTCTTCAATTCTACTGTAAAATTAAGAAAATTGCCAAACAGTTCCTCTAATTTGGTTGCATCTTGGTCACTCCCAACCCTCTCAGCTAGGCCACCATCAGTGAACTCAACATTATTGATAATGAGACAGTGTCCTATTGGGTTGGCATCCATTGGATAACGGCCTGTTAAGGAAATTATGCAAAAATTGGTCAAAGAGAAAGCCAAATATTTACATACTTTCTTTGTTTTGTCTATCCATTCTTTCTGCTCTAGACAAAACACTTCTTCCCAGTTATATAATCAAATTCATTGTCCAAGACATGCCATATTATTGGCACTTCATGATTAACATTAGATGTGTGTGGTATCATTGTTATGTCAGTGACAATGAATAAATGATTTTCACACATCTATAATAAACATTATATTTCTGACTAGTGTATCCCTTGGACTTTGCCCATTATTTTGACATATTGTTCATGTAATAATTCTACGTACTCATCAAGCCGCTGCATTGCTTCGGCCTCTGATATTTTATAAAACTTGATGCAATTTGATATCAGCTCAAATAGCTCTGGCGGTAGGATCAAGACATCATTTGGTGCTACCAAATGACATTCCACCATTAGTACGTTAACATGTTCCATTAATTGTCTATCCACCTCAATAGCAGCTTTCACTTTCTCAAGTTTAGCCATTGATATAAGCTTGTCTGTTACAGAAACAGCAAGTGATTTTCCCCGAGCACTAGGAATAACAGGTAACCTTAATGTTGTCCGAAGTGCCAAAGCAGTTCCAGCTTGTTTCCATGAAGGTGGCATTCCTTCTGAAATATGTAGGGATTTGCATACCTGCATTATAGTTCCACTGCTGAATCTTAGCAGCCTAATGGTGTCTTCTCTTATCACAGCCAGAAGTCTAAAAGCTAGAATTAGTTCAACCTGTTTCTGATTGCTATCATTAAGTCCCGACTCTTGTTGTTGATCTCTTTTCCTTGCTTCACTTCTGCATAAAATATAAACAGATAGTATATCATAATTATACACACTTGCAAAAAATATGACTCATGGAACCTGGGGTTAGAGATGCCACAAAATTTTGGTATAGTAGCTTCTAGCCTGTCAATTTTAAAAGTTGCTTAAAATTTGACAAAATATGATAACACCGAAATTTTATCAAAAATGACAAAGAAAATTTTCTATTTCAATTTTTTTGATACATACACATGTACTTATATGTCATGTAGAAAGTTTGAGCTGATTTTGATCAAAATTAGATTAATTACAATTTCTAAAAGTTGCTGCAAAAAAGTCCCTGTACAGTACAAGGTCTTTGGCCAAATTTTGCCAAAAATGAATAGGAGAGAATTCTCTATCTTTAATTTTCCCAATGCATATTATGTGTTTTTACAATTTCGATCAAAATTTACAATTTATGAATTTCTAAAGTTGCCCAAAAAGCCATGCACTATTATTGTAGTGCTTGTCAGCTCATTAAGCTAGTATGCTGTTTAGCTCACTTAGCATGCTTTGTAAGAAACCCTGCACAAGATGTCTTTGAGCCATGAGCATGACACAAATTAATTTCAATCAATTAATGTTAACTGTTCTAATTGAATAAGCTCCTAAACTAAAAGTACTACATAATTTAGTTAGCTAAAAAGGCATTTCAATTTATGTACACTACTACACTTTGTATATTATGCATACACCATACTAGTACAATCACACAAACAAACACACTTACTTTAATAGCTTCAGAATGAGGCTGTCTTTTAGATTATCAATGAACTTGATATTACGTTCACTTTGAAGCACACTAAAAGCCTTCTGTGAACTTTTCATCATATTTTGAAAATTGATTTCAACTAAAGAACTCTTTATTGTTTGCAAGAGGTACTGTAGAAAGGTTTCTTCCATCTGCACTTTATCGTTGATGATAGCAATGAAAGACTGAGGTATATCTAGTGGGATAAGCTCATTATAAAAGGAAGCATAACCTTTGTCGTTTAAATTAGTTTCGAAAAAAAACACTTTTGGGGTATCCTCATCACTTTTAAAAGGAGTAACAATATCAGATATTTCAAGTTTTTTGGATTTTTCTATACCTAACATAATGATAACAAGACAGTAAATGTCAGAGTGATCAATTGTGGCTACTGTCTTCAGAAGGCGCTTAATTCCTTTACGAGTTAGAGAACTGTATATTTGTACGTGAAATCCAAGCTTATCTGAAAATACTTCTCTTATTGTTTCCAATTTCCCATGGCCATATTGTGAGGGATTGTTGTTGATGACAATACAGTATCCTGGCTTTTTATAACTAAAGGATCCTATATAAAAATAAACATCATTAATCACACCATCACTATAATAATAATAATAGTAGTACCTGATAAAAAATGAAGATTGATTTCTGATTCCGATGCCAGACTGGAAGAAAAAGAAAATCTCGACATAGAATAAGATGAGCCCTCACTGTACTGGTGTCTTAAATGAATGAAAGATGTAGACGCAACTAGCTCACTCCTTGCTGAAAGAGTTGCTACTGGTAAACTGATATTAGAGCCATGTGAGTAACTCCGCCTCTCTCTTGACCTTGTGTAAAAATGATTCGGTGTTGAAGACATTGAGGTAGCAACTAGTTCAGTGTGCATGGTATTTCTGGGGCTAGAAGATACACATTTGGGCAATGTCTTTTGATTAAACATTATTTCGCTTGAGCTGGGACTTGAAATCATGGAACTTGTTTCTGAATGAGTTCGTGAAGCAAAAGATAAATTGACTGAGAGAATAATATCCTTTCTGATTGAAGATGTCACTTCACAAGCTTGCATTCTATCTTCATATTTTTTCTTTGATAATCTTTGATTGACTTTCTTTATGAGCTCTTCCAGATTTACTTCTTTGTACTTTCTTGCAAAGTGCCTGATGCCAGTAACTAATTCGTTGATAAACCAGCTACCATTAAAACAATGTCTTAGAGCTTCATGTTCATCGATTGTGGCAAAAGCATAAAAAAAGTCAATTCTATCAGGAGTGCTGGAGTCAATCTGGACACCTGATAGGCCACCACCGTCATGTGATAAACCATGTGACATAAAATCAAGACTACTGCCTGATTTACTATCAGTAGACTGAGTAGAGACAGTTTTATTATGCTTAGAACCACGGCAGGCTTGAACGATGAAAACCTTAGGCTTGTTGGCAAGTGTGGGGCACATTCCTGATGTGAAGTAATCCGAGATCTCACTTATTTTAATTGATTGACTATCGGAAGTATAAATCACATTCCCAAAATCGCCATGACTAAGTATAACAATAAAGAATGCATCATAGGCCGAATGGTCGATCTCATAAAATTTGATCAGCACTTGGTGTAGTTCCTGCAGAGTTGGATCCATAATCATGGTCACTTTAAAGTTGAGAACATTTTCAAACACATCCTTAATGCTAGCAGCATCTATGTTACTTCCAGGCCTGTTCTCATGCCTTTTGAAACGACCTATATTGATAAGTAGGCAAAGGCCCTGTGGAATAGACCCCATAGGATAATGAAAATCTAAAATAAAAGGAACAGAACATGAGAAGTAGAATTGTACTGCTCTTACAAAATAAAAAGGCTCACTTTCATCAATTTCCTCTGGCCAAGAGTCTGTAGGTGACGCTGGGGGTGAAGTGGTTCCTGGGAATTCAGCCATTGCTTTAACCTAAACCTTGAGCTAAACTTGATGAGCTCGATCTCTCGCGTCGAGCAGTTGAGGAATCAAAGGCGGGGCTTTTAATTATTAACCCTTTAAACAGGGCACCACCCAGTGCCCACTTTAATGACTTCAGATCATACCCATCATTGTAGTGCGAGTTGTAGTGCAGGAAAGGGTTGTCAAACTTGGTTCTCTGAGCACTCTAACCAGGATTGTAACAGGTCCCTTAGATTATGGGACTCATTACATGTACAGGTAGGCTTTAATATGGATAGATCTATCTGTCTGTGATGACTAGTCTAGAATGAAGGATTGTTTCCCCCTATGCAATAAGTTTATCTGCATCTCTGCCTCTTATGTAGTGCGGGGTGTTATATCAAAATTCACGATATTTAATTAATATAATGTGGTATTAATTTTCATTGATATTAAAGGAAAATATTGATTACATAATGACGCCCACATTTAATGGTTACATAGTCTTAATAATGGTTAATTAACTGTAGCAGTAATATCTCAAAAGTACTTTTTGGAAAGCAGCTCAAGTATATCAGGCCAAAGAAGGTTTATATTTCTCAAATAGCTCTATTTGGCCGTTTCAATAACATTAAAGTTAATGTGTGTGGCTTAATAACTTATTGATAATAGGTAATAGTTAATACATAGGGCAGCATGTTCTATCAGATTTATCTGCACGAGCTTCTGGTCGAGTTGCTAAAAATAGCGCACGAGGCCGAAGGCCGAGTGCGCTATTTTAGCGACAAGACCGGAAGCGAGTGCGGATAAATCCGATAGAACATGACGCCACATGTATTAATTGTTTTAGTGTATAGTTCCAGCAAAGATTACACATGCTCTGCTATCAGTAATATCACACTGCTGCACATTAAATAAATGAGTATGCTATTTATGATATCACACTGCGATATTGGTGGAAGTGTTCTGTGG